GGCCCCACCTTGTTCACGCCGTCGGCCATGGCCTGCAGCGTCAGCTCCCGCGGCCCGTCCACCGTCTTGCCGTTGTCCGTGGGGCCCCAGCTGGCGCTGTAGATGTCGATGCGCTGGGGCATGTGGCTGATGGAGGAGGCCTCGATGATGTCCGTCATGAACGGCTGGTCCAGCATGCGGATCCCTGCGGTGGGGGCAGGAGACACGGGCCTTGGTCCCCAGGTCACAGGGGACACGGGGGGGGCAGGGCTCAGGAGCCCAAGCTGGGGGTGGTGTGTGGGCTACACCTTCAGAGACGCAAGAGGGGGGCACAGGCGGGCCGCCCATCCCTTCTTAGCCCCACCCCCACCTTTCCTCGTGCAACTGCTGGAGGACACTCTGATCCCCCAGCGCACTTTCCTAGGGGTCCCCGTGGGGGAGCCCACCTTGGCTGGACATTGCTTGATAGGCCTGCTTCTGAGTGGAAGGTCAGCCCAGAGACCGGGTGTGGACCGAGGAGAAAGAAAGCTACTGTGCAGGACAGTGAGGGGGAGGCGATGGGTGGGAGAGAGTAGATTAAGGAGAAATCCCAGAGGGCAGAGGGCAGAGGGCAGAGGGCAGAGGGCACAGGGCAGACTGGGCAGGGACAGTATAGGTCAGTGCGGGGTCAGGAAGAGAGGACCTCTCAGTTGCATTGTATCTGCGAAGGGCCTTTGGGGACAGGACTGTTGCATGGCTTACTCTAAAATACACTAGCAATGGGGTGCTTGGTACAATCCCCCCCCTCCCCTGTGGCATCTTTGTAAAGCTGCTGTTACTCCCTGGTGCCTTGTGGGAGCAACTTCTTGCTGGGCAGCTGAGAAGGAGCAGAGTGCTGCAGTCCTGGATTGTGTGTGTGTGTGTGTGTGTGTGTAAAACCTGAACTGGGCAGAGGGACTCGGGAAGGGGGCATGCCTGTGGCCACCCGTGGTTCACATCACCCTCTGGCTGTCCATGAAAAGCCTCCCCTGGGTTAACTCAGCAGCAGCCAAGGGGATGGGCCTTCTGTCCCTCTGTCACTTAACCTCGAAACATTGCTGTTGGGAGCTGTACTGTTCTCTGCTTGATGCCCTGTTTCGTGGCAAGGAGCCTAGAATTTTAATACACCGACCCAAGTCTTTCTGTCCACTTTTGAAATGAAGGGGCTGGGCTGCACCGTCAAAGCTTCGATGCTGACACTCCTCCCTCGTCCCCCATGGTCAAAGGACGTTCCTACACAAGCATCGCTCTCTCACGTGGCACGTGAATCAGCTTAAATTAGGACAAGTACGGCTCTTGCAGGATACGTTGAACAGACATGTCTCCTCGCTTAAGGTCTCTCTTTCCTCCTCAAGTTCCCACGGCTCACCCCCTGTGCTTCCCTGTGTCTCTCTGCCTCTTCCTTCCCCGGCTCCCTCTGTGCTGCACAGAACATCGGAGCTGGTGTGCATTAATCTTCTGGCTGTTTCAGCATCCAGGGAGGCAAGGGCGGCCACAGACTGAAAGCAAGGCTCTCATTCATATTCAGGGGCCAGGCGCCCGACATTCTTTTAATCTCGTTAAGCTCGGGAAGAGTGAGGCATGCATTAATTGAATGAGACACAGCATTAATTTTTGCAAGCGACTGCACCATTAGCAGCCAAGACATAGGCTCAGGGTGACCCAAGGGTTTTTAGGGAGGGCCTCTCCTTAGTCTCTGGGTGCTCTAGGAGCTACAGGGGGATGCACACACAGAGAGAGAGGACCCAAGAAGGCATGAGAGTGAGAGGCAGAGGCAAAGAGGGAAGACCAGGCATCTAGGACTCAATGTCTTCACATTTGTAAAAATGCTCTACTGGATGATGTGATTTGGTGGTGAGGAGACACGGTGAACATCGAGCATCTATTCCCTCCGCTATCCCCCCCCCAGGCTTGATCACCACACTGATGACCAGCAGTGGCTCTGCATCCCTACCTTTAGGCTCTGAGCCTCATGCCTGTCTGTACAACTTGCAGAGCTGCTAGCCTCTAGGGCAGCAATTTTCAACCAGTGGGCCGCAAGAATTTTTAAAACATGCAATATCTTACTATTTAGTGAGGGGCACTGACCTCCTTTCCCTTAGATTGTCAAGTAAAAAAAATGACAACAGCCAACACAACAATAGCCATCTAGCATGAATGCCCTGCCTTGAACCATAAATATATAGGTCACATAATAAAGTTGCACCTTATTGGTCACATTGCATAATAATGTTGTGCCTAATTGGTTAATTCCTGGTACCAGAAATCCTTATATACAAGTATAGGCACCTGATTTTTAAAAAAGTCACTTTGGAGCAAAAAGGGTAGGTAATTATTATATTGTTTGTAAATATATCAACATTATACCAATTTTTTGTCAGATTGGCAAAAAATATAATTACATTTTTTGGTGTGCTGCAGAATTTTAGTAATTAAAATTCATGTGTGCCATGAGATGAAAATGGTTGAAAATTGCTGCTGTAGGGGCTCAGGGCCCAGGGGATTTGAGATAAATCCTTTCTGACTCTATTCCTGTTAAAAAGGTGAGCTTGTACCTGATACCAGGATATGCTACATCTGCCCACAAACCTCAGTATCTCTAATTGCCACCATTTGGGCTTATGAATATTAGTCTGCAGTGTAAGGAACAAATTCAGGCTGATCTAGGTTTTAAGGATCTAAAAATGTTAATTACTGTGCTAATGGGTTATTTTTATTGGTTTATTTAAAAACTCAGATAAAATATGTGTAAACCCACGGAAATGTAAGTTTTATTGGCCAAATATGTGGAAGCAATTCATTGCTGGTAGAGAAATTCCAGGTCATTTTGACAATGGTCAAAGTGTGGTTTCCCAACTCTTCAGAATCTCAGATGAGATCAAAGGTGATCTCATCCTGAAGCCCAATGTGTACATCTATATGCTCTGGCTTAAAAGGAAGGGAGGTAAGGCCCATCCCAACTGGCCTGGCCGCACCCGGGGGCTGCTCTGAGAAGCTCTGCAGAAGTCCAGGTATGAGGCTGTGGAGCCCGCCCTCAGGCTGCTTGCTGTGCCCCTCCGCAGTTATTCTCCGCCACCTGGCCTTGTTTCGTCCCTCCCAGCACTCATTATCTGCTATTACCCAACTTATTTGTTCATTGTCAGAGTCTTCTCTTTGAGTGTCAGCTGTGTATCCCACCACCCACAGCAAGACTAGGCACATGGTAGGCACCCAGCAGCAAGGCCTTGGTCTCCTTGGAACTGATTTGATTGGAATAAAGGAACCAAAAAGGTTGTGGTTTTGATTCCTGGTCAGGGCACATACCTAAGTTGTGGGTGGGATCCCAGGTCAGGGTGTGTATGGGAGGCAACCGATCGATGTTTCTCTCTCACACAGATGTTTTATACTCTCATTTCTGTTCCCTTTATATGCCTGGACTAAGATTCTACAGCACCTCAGTTTTAGAATCTTCTTGAAGACAGATGAAGAGAGACAGACCTAGGACCCTGGAGGGACTTGGGACGTAGCCGCCAAGGCCTCGGTAACCTGTAACTAGACATCTTGAGACCGCCAGAGACGTGCAAGATCTTGGTGGGCCACCAGGTGGCGCTCTACACAGCCCTAGCTCAGAAAGCTCCTGAAAGAAAGTCTCTGGGAGGGAATGCTCATTTAGAGTAATAAAAACACCCAGCCAACTTTTGTACTTGCCAACCAGAATGGACAAAATGTTCCCCTGAAATATGTACAGTGGGGAGCCCGAAATTCTGCTTCTGTTGGGATCTTGAATAACTCTAGCGCTTCCTCAGGAAGGATTCCTTTCAATTCTCCTGGGAAGCCCAGAGAACACTGGATATCCTAAAGGACACCTGACGGGCACTGCAGTGTCCTGCCCCTTGAGCAGTTAGAAAATCAGGTCGAGTGGTTACAGAGGAGCAAACCTGGGGGTTAGGGAGTGGACAAAGAGAGAAAGGTGACTGCTTTGTTGAAAATCTGTGTGGCAGGGCCTCCCACCAGCTCCCCCCTTGGTTTCTGGAATCTCAAAGCATTGCCTTGAGGGTTTCAGAAAGCAGGGGGCACGTCTTTGAGGTATCAGGCTGCATTCTGCCCGCCTGTGGGATGGGGGTTAATCAGCAGGTGAGGCAGAGGCTGTTGCGCTCTGCCTGGATCCGCTGTCCCCCTCTGAGTCTTTGGCTGGGGGGTGTTCTCTGCTTTAGGAGTTCTGAGCTCACGTGAGCTGGCAGGCTGGGCAGGCCAGGAGCCTTCCTCACCAATGAGGGATAGGAGTGAATAAACTCCCAGCATCCTCACCGGGGTGGTAGTGGGGGGTGTGTGTGCATTTCCCCCAGATTATTGTTGACACTATTGCAGATGTCCCCCATTCCCCTGATTTGCCCACCTCCACCCAGCCCTCGCCCCGCCCCCCACCTTCACCACCCTGTTGTCTGTATTCATGGGTTATGCATATGTGTTCTTTGGCTAATCTCTTCACCTTTTTATCTGGCTGGGGGGTGCATTTTTGAGGGGGGTTCCCATAGTCCCTCAGATCCAGTTTTCCATGGGAGCAACCAGCTTATCTACATACACTGTTGCTTCCTTCCCTTGGCCACCTCTCCCTCTCTCTGGTTTCCTGGGATCACCTTCCGAATAAACTCCTTGCACTTGTAGGGAAGCAAAATTTGCTATCCCAAAATGTGTCTGTCTGGCATGAGGATTATTTTATTTTTAAGAAACAAAGACTCAAGAAGAACCTTTGATTGGTCAGCACCAGGGCAGGGGGTCACTGGTCAATGTAGCTGGACCTGGTGTTACCCACATGGTTTTGCTGCTTTTCTGGGCCTGGAGCTGAAATACAACTGAGGCTTAGGGTGCCCTTTCAGGGTCGTGGTCTCCACTGATTGGCACCCTGAAAGGGCCATGAATATTCTAGCTGATGAATATTCTATTGAACCTTCCTCTAAGACCTCCCCTAAACTCCCAGCCTTTAAAAACCCTTAAAACTAAGGTCCTGGGAGCACGCCTATGCCNACACCTGGAAAAGCTGATGAATATTCTATTGAACCTTCCTCTAAGACCTCCCCTAAACTCCCAGCCTTTAAAAACCCTTAAAACTAAGGTCCTGGGAGCACGCCTATGCCTTTCCCTCCCCCTCTGCTTCCGTCTCAGGTGCATATCTCCAAAAGTCTGAGGGACCCCATGAGACTTGCCACCAGGGGAGCAATGGGCAGTGGCAGCTCGTCCCAGGCTTACCTCTGCACTTGTCTCCAAGGCCTGCTTCTTCTACCCTAGGCCCGCCCTTGTTTCACTATCCCCAGCTTTAATAAACATACTCTCAAAAATCAAACAACCACACATACAAAAAGAACCTTTGTCGTCCCCTTTAGTGCCTAAAATAATTTCGACAGAGAGAGCTATCCTGCTGGATAACTACAGTGTAATATGAACTAGGTGTGGCAGGGCCTAGAGATTAGAGTCTGCTCTGTCTCCCATTGTCTCCACAGGCCCAGCAAACTTTGTTTACCAAACATTTGCTTTTCCATCTCCCTGTGAATTGCCTTCTTCCCCTTCAAAGTCCCGAAACACTACCCACTTCTCCCTAGCTCAAGATGGCATATAAGCCTCAACTGCCCTATATGTCCTTGGGCCCTATATTCTTCTGGAACCCTGTACATATGTACATAAGTAAGCTGGACTATTTTCTCCTGTTAATCTGTCTCATGTCAATTAAATTCTTAGATCAGCCAGAAGAACCTAGAAGGGTAGAAGAATATTCTTCCTCCCTCATGTATTCAAGTTTTTGTCTCTGGTTTTGCTTTTAGGTAATTCAAATGGAGAGGAGAGCAAGAGAATCAGGTACATTTTGATGTTTTCAGAATTCAGGTAATAGAGAAAAAAAGACAGAAGCAGCAGATGGGGAAAGGAACCCCAATAAACCTACAAAGCACCTCGAGCTGCTCTCTTAGTTTTTGCAGACAGTAGTTCTAAGAATCCCTTGTTCAAAAAACCAGTTGATTTGGCTTTCCAGAGCCTTCGAAACTGTTTTGAACATAATCACCGTGAGTGAGAAATTCGGGTCTGAATTTTTCAGTTGCCTCCAGTTCTGTCTTGTGAATAGAGAACCCACCTCGCCTCAGCTACTATAACCCAAGGTACCAGCCTAGCTTATAAAATATTAATTGGGTGATATCCTTTCCCCTGATCTCATAATGGCTCCTGACATTTTTAATGCTAGCATTTTGGATGCACACAAAGTAAAGAGAGCCGAAACCCGAAGGGCAGAGCCTCCTGTTTACATTTCAGAACCTGCCAGACACATTCTTTTGTGAAATTCAGCACCTAACTCAGGCAAGCCTCTCAGCGAACTGTGTTGAAAGAGGCTAATGGTGGGTTTGTACAAGTTGCTCTTGCTTTATTCGGGTCCCCAGAAATGCAAGTGTCAGCACAAAGTGTGTTTATGGTTCCATTAAATAGCCAGGAGAAATATCAAGGCAGTTGTAAAAAAAGAAAACCAAGGTTGGGCGAGTCAGCCTAAATAAATTAAGATCCAATTTGATGCTGAACTCGGAGTGAGCCAGGATGGCTCCATCCTCCAGCATCTGGTTGAACGATTAGGAACCCTGCTCTTTCATCTTCTCTCTCTCTCTCTTTTTTGGGGTGGAGGAAGGTTTTGGTTTCTAAATTTCTAGTAACTTGCCACCCTCATTTCTAAAGCCTCCTGTAAAGATGAAATTGTTAAATATCCTTCCTGTGGAACTTAGTAAAAGGCTCCAGGTAGAATATATTTCCTTAAAGATGAGATGCATTGTGCAAACACAAAAAACAAACAAACAAAAAAACCATTTTGAAGATTCTGAGTATGTTTATAATAACTTATACACATCTCCTTATATTCTATAGTCTTTGTTTGAGTCTCATTAAAATGTTTTGGATAATGACATGAAAGAGTACAGACAATACAATTCCATTTATATAAACTGGCAACGGCCAATGTTTGCTGCTCGGAATCAGGACTGTGATTGTGCTCGTGGGGACACAAGGACGGCTTTGAGGGTACTGGTAATGCTTTGTTTCTTGGTCAGTTTGTAAAAATTCATTGAGCTATATGTTTGTGATCTGTGCACTTTCCTGGATTTATATTACACTTAAATAAAAATTTAAACGTTTATTAATATTGCCACGTAGGTTAAAATAAAAATATTTTTTTTCACTCTTGTTAAATCTACGAGTCTCAGGTCTCCTGCCACAGTGGGAGTTTTTGCCAGGCCCTGGCCAGCCTGGAGACTAGCCTGTGATGGGTTTGGGGCTGGCTGCCTGGAACAAGGCCTGCTGCTTGGCAGGGACAGCTTACCTGCGACCTTGGAGTTGTATGCCACTCCGACCCCACAGATATTATTGTTGGCTGCGGCAGAAACTTCCCCTGCACATCGGGTCCCGTGGCTGTGAAGAAAAATAAAGACAGCTATGAGATACAGAAAAGGCTCAGGAAGAGGTTCCTTAAATTCTGTCAATGGGAAGCAGTTGGGTTCTTTTGAACGGCTCAGTTAGCCGGAGGCCAGCGCTTGGCCCACCCGGTTTCCCTCTGTGTATCCCAGCACCCCTTTTCTC